TACGCGCGTACGCGTGGCCGAGTGCCTCCGATTTCTAATTCAGGGGTCTAAGATTCGAGACTCAGAGGAGCTGGCATTTCTTTAGATTTCTTTCTTTGCCAAAAAATAAATAAATTCAATCAAATATAGAACAGCGAACCCGGTAACGGTAAATTAATGATTAAATTAAATTACTAGAAAACAATGAGAATAAATTAATAGTTCTGAACACAAGTAACGCAGGCTCAAGTTTACAGGAAAGTGACTGACTGAGTGATTGAGTGAGTGACAGATTCTTCCCCCTCCAATAACTCTTCGTTTGCTTCGCAATCTTCGAGTTATAAAGTTGAAATTATACAGTTATGTAATAATAAAAATGATTTTTTTTGCTCTCTTTGTTTCGCTTTACACCTTACGGCTGAGCGGCTTTGGGGCAGAAAAATGTCTTTAAAAACATTCGTCTTCTTTATTCAGCACAGAAACATCCATGAACCAGAATCAAACAGTTAGACGTTATTTTTTTTTTGACCTTTGAGCTGTTTTCGTCCAAATAATCTTCCATGTTCTTGTCCTTGTGGACTCATTCTCCGAATAAAAGATATGTGTGGCGAACACATATCGATGATTACGAAAATACCTCTTGAAAGTCTAGATGGTTCACGATAGTTCTCGACAAGATCACGCGTTGGAAATCCCGAACGCTTTCCGAGTTTGTACCCAGCGAACACMAMAATAAAAGCGTGCGAGCCCATTCGTTCTTTTCTTTCTCTCAAGCACAATAGTTGGGCGGCCTATGGTACACCGACGCACAACCTGCTACACGTGGGAACCCTGTGTTGGTCCTTGAAAAATCGACTCGATGGCTTACCATTTTCTCTTAGTTATGGTGCTCCGCACGTGTTKGACTTCGGACCGCGCAGGAGTTCCGCTATAAAATTGTACAGCGCGAAAMGTTAGTACGCTAGCAGAGAAACSTGCAAAGTCGGTTTCCAACCTGTCCTGYTGCAATGTTGCGAGACCATTTGCATGCACGATTTTGCTGCACGTATTATCTATAGATCAAATAATTAATTATTGTCAAATCTTATTGCTGTTTTTTTACAGAAGGAATCTCAAGACACGAACGTGCGGTCAAGATCGTCGAGCTTAAACTGCAAAGAGAACCGCCGTTTTCCTGACAGCCCTTTCACTCCCGATTATATCGATTTCTAATTACAAACTCCCCAGTGAGGTCCTTGATAGAAAAACAAGATAGTTGATAGCTCTATCTCCRCAACGATAATTCTAGACAAAGTATCAACACATTCTGATAATGCATTTGTGCAAATTTAGACTCATATAATAACAACACACGTGACTAGAATTAAAGAAAAAACCTCAAAARGTTATATACCCGATGATTTGGTCTTCTTGATGCCTTATGAAAAGCAATGTCGTTCAATGAAAATGACATGTCAGCTATTGTAAATTACATTGCTTGACGTCGAGCATATGACGTCATCGCTTGAAAACTAAATCATTTGACACAACAACCTGATGTCACATGTTTGTAGATAAGTAAGGAAACATGAYGAACTCTTTGAAAAACGTATAACACATACGTTATKAATCTCACGAAGTAAAACTTATCTTACTTCATACGTAGTCCATGTCTATGAAAATTGTAAATCATAGCTCCGTATATACAGGATTTATTCGCGCACAATCCGTAAACAATAAATAGTCGCTAGGAATTTTATGGGAAATTCGTATAGGTCTTGATWTATATGGTGCCAATAAAAAACAATTTTTTACAGTAAGACTTGAGCGGGCGACCTTTATGGGCATTTTTAAAAAACTTCGAGCTGCAAGCGAGCAGTTTTAATGCCCATATAGGTTGGAGGCGAATACTTTATATTGCTTATTAAATAGCATATTTAGCAAAAAAAAACATCAAGATAAAATATCATTCCTAAGAGAAAATCGAAGTTATAGCCTGTGTACATCCGTTTCTCACCCCTCCAAAAAAATCGGGGAGATTCTCCCCGATTTTGTCGGAGGGGTGAGAGACGGATGTACACAGGCTATCGAAGTTAAAGTCGTATGCAAATGAGATCACGGCAATGATTTTTCATTGTGTTTCCCTTATGAATTATTAATGATTTTATAACGTCTTATCAAGCTCTTTACTTATGTTCTTGTCCTAATCTTAACTTTTTCTTTGATTGAGAAAGGTCTGTCATACGACTTCAATAAATTGTTGTGCGTGTACGCGGCGCTGATGTACACAGAGAAGGCTCTCATGTCCCAATTATAAAGTGAAGAAGAACTATAAAATTTTCAAAGACATCAGAGCCATGCACATGGACATCCATATATGGAAGTCGTACGACAAACTCTACACCCTTGATTATAGCGTATCTATTTTTCCTTCATTTCTGTTCATCTCTCTCTTCTTGCTCTTCTTGTGTTTTGATGTAGTTATTCTGATATATCATGATTTACTTTCATTAGCTTTATCATATGTTTTCTTTCTTTTTTATTATTTTTTCGTTGTTGTTTTGCGTTCGTTACCTTTAGAAATGTTTTTCTTTCCCTTTTTTTCTTTGCTCTNCTTTGAATGTCATATATGTATAAGATGCTATTCATTCCGGCTACATTAGTACTGGTTTATGTAAAATTAGCAACTTCAAACAGCGTTCACATGCATGTTTCTCCTGGAGTAGAAGAATGTACCATTGACGTGAATGGGTGTAGTGTGCCAGGAAATCTACCATTCTTTTACAAAACAAAGTTTACACCTGCATGTAACAAGCATGACGTCTGTTACAGCTGTGTAAGTATTCAAAATAAATTTCCGCCATTGCCTGTCAATTTGAAAGAATATGGACCTCCCACTTGTCATTGTTCCAGTAATATAGAAGGAACCCGTAAAATCTGTAGAGATGGGAGAATACCTTTCTTACTGTTCATGCACAAAATTACTGATGACGAGCTTCCGCGGAGTATCGTCATTATTTCTCTTTTGCGTAAATCATTATTATTCGGTTCTTCACTGATTGAATCCTGTATGATACGAATTTTATACCCGCCAACAAGTCTGATAAAATCTTATCTTATCAATCCTAAGGGAAAGCTCTATGGCTGGTCAAGAAACACATGTGATCATTCCTTCGAAAAAGACATGGAATACTTATGCATTCATCATTATAAACGTAGCTTAATTAGCTCAATAATTACAGCAGTGAGTAAACTAATAGAGGAAGAGGAARCACGATGCAAAGCTTCTGCGTCCTTTTACTACCGAGCCGTTGMACATTTTGGAGCATTTTATTATATCCATGATGATCCTCCCAAATGGTGCCGTCAGGCATGCATTTCTGAATATGGCAGCCCCTATCGACAGCTTAGAGGTTTTCACAATATATGACTGTGAATATGTTGCGATCAATCATTTCACGACGGACACATTTTYATGGCCACCAAGAATCCTTCTCATCTATATCGATCCTTGTATTCATGAATAAATTCAATCAAAGTATTCTGCCGAAAGTMAGCTAAACAACGACGGAAACTTCCGAAAATTCCTCGATATTTTCACAAGTATTTCCTTTGGATATCAGCAATTTAACCTTTGTAGCTTTGATTTGAGATTCTTTGCGGTTTTTTTTTTTTGAGTTTTCCAAAGATCCTTTAGCTAGAARCAYGCTGTTGTCTTCTTGGCAAACTTGCCGATGCTTTTTGTTTTTGATCACTGATATCATCAGAGCCGATTTCGTACGACGGATTTTGAGCAAAAAAATATAWAAATAATATTAATATTGTACGTATAGCTTTTTTGCTTCATAAATATATTGCATGATAAATTCCGGTTAAATCTGTTCAATAAAGAGTTACCAAAAGGCCCACAAAAGGCTGCAAATCACATTTCCAAGAGACGGTTGTTTGCCTCGGTTATCCATTAACTGCTTTTAGCTACTCTTCATTAGCTTTGGTATTCATTTATAGTCACCTTTAGCAGAGAGACGTAAGTGAAGATCCTGGGGGATTAGGGTTGCATGGAAGCTACCTTCTTTTTAGAGTTCAACAATACAGAAATGAAAGAGAAGAAGGTCTCAGGTTTGATACCTGATCATTGACCAATGCAGGATGTCAACCGATTGCAGTAAAACAGACATCAGTATTTCTATTTTACTT